TGCCCGGGGGGGGGGGGAAGCTTCGCCCACCTGCGGGGAGCTTGAGTCACGCAGCACCATGGCCAAGAGGTGCAGGGGGGAGCGGAGTCATCTCCATACTTGCGCCAGCTCTCTGCCGGGCCGGAAGGTGCTCAAGGGGCTCGGACGGGCTGGGGCTACTTGTCTCCAGACACCTTCAGCCTCGCCGGGGATGCGCAGACCCAGACCCCCACACACACACACACACCGCGCCACGGGGAAAGGACACCCAGAGCATGTCTCCAGGCCCCGCCGGGAGGTTGGCATCTGTGCTCGTCTAGAGCTCAGGACAACCTCGGGCCGGCCCTGCTGACACCTTAGGACCGAACCTGGAGCATTCAGCATGGACTGAACTGGCTGTCCTAGCCTGCCATGTCACCTTCCCCTCACTTGTGACGAAATGGGGACCCGCCCTCAGCGCTAGGAGACTGAGCAGCCGTTCTGTGGCTCAAAAGTCGCTGTTTTCACCTGCCCACGCTGCCTGGTGGGGCTATTTCCCTTCGTAATTTCCTGCCACTGCTCACTGAATCCACACCGCCTTCTTAGAGGGACAGTGAGATCCCTCTGGCTGATTCCCCAACCCGAAAAGGTGGGTACCACAATCAAAGTGGGTGCCACAATCTTTGGGCGCCCCCTGGAGAGTTCGCAACCCCTCTGATGTGGGACCATTTAGGTTCCCTGGCCTCCCTTTTGCCCCTGGTAACGTGCTGAGTAGGGAGAACCACGTGGTCAGGGCACATCAGGTCTTATAGCTTCAAAAAAAGGTTTATTTTAGCTATATACAGGTTTGGCACAGTGATGATCAAACACACTTCAACACAACTGGGCACAGCAAATAAACAGGATGAAATCACAACTCCTCTGTCCCTACAAACACCCCTCTCTACCTCTGGGGGGCTGTGGGCCTCAGGGTGGGATTTGCTTTCCCCCATCCTTGTTGTTGTTGAGAGACTCCAGCCCTCCTCAGGACTGGTCACCTGTACTGCTGATGGATGCTTACCAGGCGCTGCCGCTCCCTGCGCAGGCTCTTCCTCAGGCTGCCCTGGCTGCTCTTCCCCTTGTACATCTGCATGGAAGACCAATTCAGAGCAGTGAAGGGAGTAACCAGTATTATGTTCCCCAACCTGCTGAGCTCCATAGGCGTAATCTTCGTGGGGGCGGCGGGGCTCAGCCTCCCCCGGGAGCCACCCTTGCTCCTAGCAAAGCAATGCCTCTGGCCCAGCCCCAGCCCCCCCCCCCCCCCCCGGGAAATTGGAAAGTCTACACCCTTGCTCAGCCACAGGCACATCCTGTCCTGGAGGGAGGGGGGACTCTGCAGCTGCAGTCTCCTGCTCCTCTCCCTCCTCCCGCTGTGCCTGCTGCTGCGCCCTATCCTCCCTCCTTCCTCGACGGGCCGCTACAGAGGATTACAGAAGTGGTATATGCAAATGAATTGAACCACCAGTTATATTCTTGAGGAGGGACTACAACCACCTTATCGTTTCCAGCACCTTATAGTTCACTCCTTACAGGGGTTGCCATCTGGTTTTGGAAATTTTTCATCAATGTCATTTTAATTCCGGTGGGGTAGCTGGTCTGAGGCAGCAGAACAGATCTTGAGTCCACTGGGACCTTTCAGACCCACAGAGTTTTTGTTAAGGTAGAAGCTTTGGTGTGCATGCACACTTCACTGTACCTGAGGAAGTGTGCATGCACACAAAAGATTCTACCTTAACTAAAACTTTGTGGGTCTGAAAGGTCCCACTGGACTCAAGATTTGCACTGCACTTTTAATGTTTGTTTACTAATTTTACAAAAAATCTAGTCATGACCCACCTTGGGTTCTGAGATAATCAAGGGAAATGCAAGCATTTACATATATTCAATGGATGGACTCCCAGTGATGTCTCTGGTCTGCCCAGGTTCCAGCACCAATTCTCCAGCAGATTATCTCCCCCCCCCCCCACCTCCAAACTACATGGGATCAAGCGTTCCGGGGGGCCCCCTTAAGGCACCCTTGCATTTTAGGGAGTGAAACACATATTTTCCCAATGCAAGTTCAAGATGGGAGAAAGGACAGGAGATACATTCGGGGTGGGGGTGGGGCATACTTACAAGCATGTCTTCGATGAGACCAATGAGGGCGGTCTGCTTGTTGCCAAAGTTCTGACATCTGGGCGAAGAATGGTGGCCTGGATCTAGTAGGGGGGAAGCCCCTCCAGGCCTCTAGGGCACTGTAAAAGTCCCCCTTCACCCGTTTAAATTTAGAATGGCACTGCTCGGCAGTTCTGATGTACCCTCTGGCCTCCATTGACACAGAAACCCTGAAGAACAGTCTTATGTTCTCCAGGTGGGTGTTGTGCATGACGCTGGAGCCCAATCTTCCTGCGATGAGGATTTGGAGCATGGCCTCCACCTCCTCATCACTCCAGAAAGCGCCTCTTCGCCGGCGGGCTGCCATACTCCTACACATTGGGTTTTACTTTTTAAAAGCAACGTGGATGTTGTTACCACGTTTTTTTTGCTATCGCGGTGTTTCACTATGTCGACATAGCGCTCCTATTGGCCGTGCGTGGAACCGCGCGGTTTTACTGGAGGATTTAAAAATAGAAAGTGAAAGCTCGGGAACGCACGGTTGGAGAGCATCTCTTAAAAAGTGGACAGCCCGCTTTTTCAAGCCCCAAGTCTTTCCAGACTTGCAAACAGGATCCTCCTCTTGATGGCCAGCATTTAGGGATTGCCATGAAAGGCAACGAACATGAAATTGAACATGAAATCGATGCAACGAGCATGAAATCGATGCAACGAACATGAAATTGAGCCAACTTCAGAGAACGGCGGAAGACAGGAGGGCCTGGCGGGAGATGGTCCATGGGGTCGCGAAGAGTCGGACTCGACTGTGCGACTGAACAACAACATGAAAGGCAATACTTGGTGCAGCATGGGTGGGATTGGCAGTGCATAACACCGTGGGATCCCAGACCAGCCCGATCTCAGAGGCTTGGCAAGGTCAGGGCTGGTTAGTATTTTGATAGGAGAAGATCAGGGAAGTCCAGGGGTGCTGTGTAGAGGCAGGCAACGCCAAACCACCTCTGTCTGTTTCTTTCCTTGGAAAACCTACAGAGTCCCCCAGTAGTCACCTCAGCCAGTGTTCCCCTCTAAGCTGCGTTAGTGCGAGCTAGCTCACAGTTCTGTAAGCCTCTGGCTCACACGTTTTTGTCTTAGCTCAGGAAGGGATGGCTCCAGATCAAACTTAATTTATGCAGTAGCCCGATTGCTCGCTTGCAACTTTAATACCAGTAAACTCACAAAGCAGATTTTTTGCTCACAGGACTCCACAGCTTAGAGGGATCATTGCTTACAAGAGGGACTCCATTGTACTCCATTGAAACGCCTGTTCTCCCCAGGCTCATTCCCAATAACTACTGGAGTCTCCAACAAGGCCATTCTTGAGTGCTGCTGCCGCCACCATTAAAGAGCAGCAAGGAGAGAGAGAGACTAGGGAGGAGGCCCTGGCCCTCTTTGGCCCCAGAACTTCTGTTTGGCTCTTTGTTTGGAAGTAGCTACTTCCAGGGGGTGAACGTTTTCTGTGATACCTGCCGTTAGCCTAAGGGCACATCACTAGGAGGTGTGGCAACTAAGTGATTTGGAAACTTCAGCCGATTCAGAATGCGTTCTAGATGGGGCTCACTGCCGTGAAGCCCATCGTCATCTTATACTCTAATAGCAAAGTCGGGAAATCTTTGGATACTTGAATCCAGTGACTGGAGCTGTGAATTTGCAGACTGGTTTGCAGAAAAATGTGAAACCTAAATTTTAAAAAAATACACTGAGCAACTTAAAAAATCCAAAAATGATAAAAGGATTGCCTCTAACTTTAAGCAACAGATTCCCTCAGTGGCTGTTCCTAGGTAACTAGAGCAGTGATGGCGAACCTTTTAGAGATCGAGTGCCCAAACTGTGACCCAAAACCCACTTATTTATCGCAAAGTGCCAACACGGGAATTTAACCTGAATACTGAGGTTTTACTTTAGAAAAAACAACTCATACATTAACTTAAGATGATCCAAACAAAGTAAGGAAAGCAATCCCAAATGCTTTCATTTACTTAAAATTATTTGGCAGAGAATTCGACACTTTAATGATGGTCTGGGCAGAGATGGGGCGATAGCTCACATGCCCACAGAGAGAGCACTAAGTGCCACCTCTGGCACTTAGAGACTGCGTGAACAGTTCTGTAGCACCTCATCATGGCGTCTGATGGCTTCGCAGAGCTTGTCCCTGTCCTCCCTGCTCTCCTCCATCTCCTGTCTCCTCGCCTCCATTTGTTCAGCATGGTGGTTGTCCATTAGCTGAAGCTGAGCTGCACGCTGTCTCTCTGACTGTTCCATTAGTCTGTTAGCCACAACATACAGCCAATATGCACTGATGTGCTGCTCCGGTGCCACCTGGATGGTGTGAGGCTCGGATGGAGCTGAGTCAATGCGATGGGAGGGTCCTGCCTCTTCACTGTAAATGCTATTCGGCCCTGATGGGAAATAAAATATGACAGCAAGGTTATAATTCCTACTTGTGATTGTCCCTGGCAAGCAGTGTTCTGCAGCAACATAACAATGACTTATTTTGTTAGAATTATATTTCACCCTTTCCGCGAAGTTTGCAATATACCTGTCGTTAAAATCAGTTAGAATTCAAATGAAATAAAACTGCAATCAGCACCTTTTCTTGCAAGGAAGGGCAATTGAGAGTGCAAATTTCTTGCTGACATGTAGGATTAAATCAAGACTCACCAATGAAATCCTCCGCCACTGTTTCCTCTGCATCCTCCGGCTCCTCCAAGCGATCATCTATGAAAGTAACAAAATGCAAATGATTACACAACCAGCTATATACCAATGACAGTTTAATAGACAGAGGGTAAGTGATGTGTAGTGGGTTAAACGCGAGTAGAAACCACTGAGACCGATGTAGTGATCAGCATGGTTTACTGGACACAACAAAGACTAACGGCCGGCCGGCCAACTATATACACACCTGGGGACGCCCCCCTAGGTCCCGTTGGTGGGTTTAAATCTCCCACCACGGTCCTATTGGTCCCCAAGAGAAGAGACTAGGAGACTAGTCCCCATTGTTCTCCCAGAGTCAAGCTCTGGGGTATTCGCTGGCCCCTGGTGGCGGTCAGCAGACACAACATCCCTCCCCCCATAGTTCGGACCCCCCCCCCAGGTCACATAGTCCTTTAAGTATGACAGGGACTGTCGTTCTCTAGTGGACTGTCGGGGGAATGGTACTGGGACTTCCGGGGGCCCGTCCACTGTGCTGGGCTGCGCTGGTGGTGCAGACACCCCTGGCACAGACACGTCGGTTGTAGGGCCCTCCTCGGGAGCCGCCGGGGTGACTGGGGCAAAGTTCTGATGCTCTTCGGTGGGGAGGTCCTGTGCTGGGCCGTCTGGGGGGCTCACCTCTGGGTTTGCCTGTTGTTCAGGACCCTCCATGCTTGGGTGTTCTGGGAGCATGAACCGCTGGAGTTGGTCTATGTGCCTCCGCAGGACCTGTCCACATTCTGTTGACACGTCGTACATGACAGTGCCAGTGGGATGGATGATGCGGCCGGCGATCCATTTCGGGCCCCTTCCGAAGTTTCTGGTGAAGACGGGGTCCTCTGGGAAGAACCCACGAGGCGCCTCCCGCTGCTCTGAGGAGTTCCGTGGCTCGGGAGCCCGATCAGGGTGTAGGCAGTCCAGGAGGATTTTTGGTCTCCGACCCATGAGGAGTTCTGCTGGGCAGTGACCGCTTATGGGGTTTGGTGTTGTTCGTTGCACTAGGAGGAAATGGGCGATGCACTAGGAGAAATTCCCAGTCTCCCCCCATCAGGCGGCTTAACGCTTCCTTCGCCATCTGGACCATGAAAGTCCACTGACGGCACCCCCATCTGACACTTCTCTAGTTTAACTTTGAGTCTGGCATCCTGGAAACAGTGGAGGACAGTGCAGAGGCGGTCTGCAAAGTCGGCCGGTGTGGCAGCGGCCATCGCCCATTGTTCCGGAGCCTCCGTGCTTGGGTGTTCTGGGAGCATGCGCCGACTGAGTTGGTCTATGTGCTGCCGCAGGATCTGTCCACAGATGGGACGGATGATGCGGCCGGCAATCCATTCCGGGCCCCTTCCAAAGATTCTGGCAAAGACGGGGTCCTCAGGGAAGAACCCGCGAGGTGCCTTCCGCTGCTTTGCGGAGTTTTGTTGCTCGGGAGCCCGATCACGGTGTATGCGGTCCAGGAGGATTGTTGGTCTCCGACCCATGAGGAGTTCCGCTGGGCAGCGACCACTTACGAGGTTTGGCATTGTTCATTGTGCTAGGAGGAAATGGGTGATGCGAGATTCCCAGTCTCCCTCCATCAGGCGGCGTAACGCTTCCTTCGCCGTTCGGACCATGCGTTCCGCTTGGCCGTTCGTAGTGGGGTGGAACGGCGCCAACCTGATGTGTTTGATCAGGTTGTTGCTGAGAAACTGCTGGAATTCCTCTGACGCAAATGCCGTCCCGTTGTCCGAGATGATGGTGTCTGGCAGGCCATGGGTGGCGAAGATCTTCCGGAGGGTGCAGATGGTGGCCTTTGTGGATGTTGTGGAAACGGGGCTTATCTCCAACCACTTTGAGTAGGAATCCACAGTCACAAGGAATAACAGTCCCTGAAATGGTCCAGCAAAGTCTACGTGGAGCTGGGACCACGGTTTCGAGTGGATTCCCATGACGGACGGCACGCCCGGTGGGCTGGGTCAGATGGCTTGGCAGGTCGGGCAATGTTTCACCCACGCCTCTATCTCTGCATTGATGTGTGGCCACCAGACGTAGCTCCGGGCGAGGCCTTTCATCCTCACGATGCCCAGGTGCACTTCCTGAAGGGCCTGGAGAACCTTTTGTCAGAGTGCGCTGGGAACCACGACCCTGTCTCCCCACAGCAGGCAGCCTTTGTGCGCTGACAACTCCTCTTGACGGGTCATAAACGCTGTGAACTCGGGGCCCTTTATCTTCGCAGGCCACCCCCTCACCACCCAGTCCATCACCCGGGATATGATGGGGTCCCGGTCCGAGCGGTGGGCAATGTCCGCGGCCTGCAGCAGGGCATCCGGTAGGCCCTCCAGCTGGAGGACCCAGTGCACTGGGGCCGGATTTTCAACCACGTCTGGCAGGGGAAGGCAGCTAAGGGCGTCGGTGTGGCCCATAGCTTTCCCCGGGCAGTGTTGTAGCTGGTAATCATAGCCCGCAAGGAAAATGGACCACTGCAAGACCCGCGGGGAGAGGACCTGTGGCGTCCGGTGATCGGGCACGAAAAGGCTGAGCGAGGAGCGGGCGGTGGTCTGTGGCAATGGTGAACGGCTGGCAGTAGATGAAGTCGTGGAACTTCTTGACCCCGGCAACTATGGCTAGTCCCTCCCGATCTATCTGGGCATAGTTTCGCTCAACCGCAGATAGGGTGCATGAGTAATACACGACTGGGACCTCCTGCCCATCTGGGAGATGATGCGCCAGCACAGCACCGACACCGTAGGGTGAGGCGTTGCTAGCCAAAACTACCGGTGGTCCCTCATCGAAGTGGGCCAGGACCGAGTTGGAGATCAACAGATCTTTCACATTCCGGAACGCGGCAGCTTGGCGGGGCCCCCACACCCAGGGGGCCTGCTTGTCAAGTAAGTGATGGAGGGGCTCTGCTACCGCTGCCTTGTGGGGAAGAAAGGTGTGGTAGAAATTGAGAATCCCTAAAAACGTTTGCAGTTCTGTTTTAGACTTCGGTGACGGGGCCTCCACGATTGCCTTCACCTTGTCTTGGTGGGTGTAGGCCCTCTGCATCCACCGTGAGCCCCAGGAAGTCCACAGATGGCACCTCCAGCCGACAATTCTCTAGTTTAACTTTGAGTCCGGCGTCCTGGAAACGGCAGAGAACTGTGCGGAGGCGGTCCGTGAAGTCGGTCGGCGTGGCAGCGGCGATCATCACATCATTAAAAAAACGTGGTGACGCCTGGGATTCCTTTAAGAAGAGAATCCATCAGTTGTTGGAATAACCCCGGTGCCACATTCACCCCGAATTGCAGTCGCTTGACCCGGAATGCCCCCTGGTGGGTCACTATGGTTTGCGTCTCAGCAGTCGCCTCATCTACCGGCAACTGCTGGTACGCTTGGGCAAGGTCCAGTTTCCCGAAGATCTTTGCCCCCCCCAAGGTGGTCAGTACATGGCTAACCACAGGTACCGGATATGCGTGGCCCTGTAGCGCCTTATTCAGCGTACATTTGTAGTCCACGCAGATACGGACTGCCCCATCCGGCTTTTCTACCACTACTATAGGGGTCTCCCATGCCGCATGGGGGACTGGTTCCAGGACGCCTTGGGCTACTAGGCAGTCCAGTTCTGTGTCAATTTTAGGCTTCTTTAGGATGATTTTAGGAACTGTCCTGGCACGCATTCGGATAGGGGCCACCTTGGGGTCCAGATGCAGGGACACCAGGGGCCCCATATAGCAGCCCAGAGAGTAATCGAAAATGGCGGGAAACTCCCGGCATATCCCATGGAAATCCTGTGTTGTACATAGCTGAACTCCCTCGACCAAAATCCCCAGGGGCACAAACCAGGCACGACCCAGCAAGCTGACCAGGTCGCCCTCTACCACAATCAAGTCCAACTGGCTCTTGACTGTCCCGTATTGTACTTGAAAAGTCCCGGCCCCCTTATTCGGCACCCAGTTTCGCTGAAAGTCCATGAGTGTCACTTGCGATGGGCGCAAACGGGGTCCCCCCTTTGGGCATAAGCGTTTCAGCGTGGCCTCAGAGATGATTGGGGCCGATCTCCATAAGGCACGAGGACCCCTCGATTGTTACAGTGGCTAGGAATTTAGGGGTGGGTGACTTGCCGGGGAGTTGCAGTACCTTTTCCGTGGAGTGTATGAGGTGCTAGAGGTCCTCTGCCACTGCATCGTCCTCTAAGTGGGCTTCCACTCTGTGACGTGGTGGCTGGGTCCGGCTGGAGGCTTTGGAGTGACATGCCCAGGTGGTGTGGCCCATATGCCCGCAGTTCTGACAAACGGCGCCTCAAAACCTGCATGCTTTCCTGTCGTGCTGGTCACCGCAACTGGCACACACTAGAGCAGCTGTGCCGGGATGCTGGCGGGCGGAGCTCAGGTTTGCGGCTGGAGTGTGGCATGGTGCTTGCGTGCAGTGGACCTCTGCGCCATTGAGGTCTGCCGGCATGGTGATGGCGGCCTGGTGTGTGGTGGAGGCTGCTGGGTGGGACCTCTCCCACACGGTGGTGATGGCCGACGCTATGGTGACCGTCTCACCCTCCATTATGCGTCGCCGCAGCTTCTCCTCCCATAGACCTGTTGTGTCCACTGACTGCCACCGGAGGTCAGCACACATACCTGAGCTTCAGTCCTGGAAGACAATGGGGACTAGGATTCTAGTCCCTCCACAGGGGAACCAATGGGAGCCATGGCGGGGGATTCAAACCCACCAATGGTGACCAGGGGGCGTCCCCAGGTGTGTATATAGTTGGCCTGCCGGCCGTTTGTCG